TTTTTCTCGCCTTTTTACCTTTTTCGTTGTACTTGTTGCAGTGCAAGAGTGACACTGTCTGGAGAGTTTATCTGATGCCTTTGACACCCAGATACTATCAGAATGCACCACTGATACTTTTTTTAAAATTATTATTTCAATTTTTTTTTTAATGTGTCCGTTTCATGCCTTTGGTTCTCTTCTTATATATGATTGACATTTTTCATTCTTTACCTTCTGTACACAGAGTAACTCAATAAAACCAAAACGAAGCGGTGGTTTTAGAGACAGTTGCTAAAATAACCTGGTTAGAAATTTACAAAATCAAATATTTCTTTATGTAAACCGGTTGTTTTTACAATTGCTATAATTTAAAGTATGTTTTTGGTGGTGAAACATTTAAGCTTAATTTTGAACAGATATTGTTTACTTTTTAATCCAACAAGTTTAAGACACTTCCCACTGTAAATATCTTAACTAAGTAGAATTCTGCAGTCATTCCATGGACATCTGAAAAATCCCTTGTGGGTTGATTACTGTAGTCTCTTTTTKGAAAAAGTAAGGATCTCGGGCCATCCGTATTTTTGGCAGCATCAATAAGGTATCTATGTAGGAGATTTCCTTAATATTAGCTTGTGGTTTATGCTTGACTTCAGATGGTGWGCAAGCTGTATATAGTTTGAGTTCAGACTTACTTTCTCCTGTACACTAAGGGTTTTATGAATCACTGGTAAAAAGAGAATCAGTTTTCCTCTACGAAATTCCTCTAAGAAAGTCTTCCTTTGATGTTTTTCTGTACTGAAYGATAGCTGGGCATTTACAACTTTTACCTAACACACCTCTCCTCCAGTGAGAAAATCTGATCCATTCAATCTCCTTGAACTGTAAGATGACTAGGAGATCCAGACTGGAGTAATTCAGTATAGTTATTTTCATAGTCCTGGCCTGTAATTCAGTATAGTTATTTTCATGGCTCTGGGCTGTTTAAAGCTACTTTGTGTCTGAGTTTAAATCTGATTGTACATGCAGCTGAGTGAACTGTCAGTGGCACCCCACCATTGAAATTAGTCCTTGAAATAAGGAAGTATCAAACAACTGTCATAGTTATCATCCAATATATTGCAGTTGCCACTGCTTGGCATCTTTGAGATGAAACTCAACATTAGTGTGTTGAGGTGCTTTAATCCCCTTTTGGGGCAGTGGATGGGGATGAATGGTTGTGGTGTCCCCTGCTGACTGAGGAACAGYTGTGTGACTGCCTCAATTGTGGGGTAGCTTCCTCTGTGGTTTCTACACTCTTGCCACACTTTAGATTTGTTGCAAGATTATATGTATGCAGTAGGACTTACATATCAGTAAGATTACTTCAAACATGTAGAACAAGTTATTTTACAGAAAGCATCACTCATGAAAGATAGTCTTGTATGTATTTCCTTTGCTTTTCTTGTGTGTTCTGGCTGTGTATAGGACAGAGASCAGGATGACTGAGATCACTTGATGTGTCAAAAAAGCTTTTCTCAGCTGCTGGATTAAAAGGGTTATAAGAACACTTAGGGTTTTTTTTGTTTATTTGGGTTTTTAAATATTATTGCAAAAATATGCAATACTGTGAAAAGGAGGAATTTGGTGTTTTGGTAGATAGTTTTGGTTTTGGGGGGTGGTGAGTGGTGATGSTGTTTAAAGTTGCGCTGTTAAGATATTCCTTCTGACCATAACTGCTATAGCAGCCCAGGWATTTTATCATGAGCAGTGCATAGTCTGGGAAAGAACAAAACAAATTTAAAGAAAATGCATCTGTCAAGCCTGAAGGTTTGTAGCCTCATATAGGAGCAACTTTTCTACATATAGGAGAACAAGAAGGAGAAGGGAAGGAATGATTCTTGTTTAAACAGTTTATAAAAGATTAAAAATAAAAGTGGTTGATTTGAAGTTTTGTTATCCCATAATTAAACAAATGGTAAGTGAGAAGCAGATCTTAGAATTGCTAAGTCCCGAGATTTGAAACAGGATATGGTAATGCTGGTGATAGTGATGTGTATATTATAGTGCTGCTAGTGATAACACCTAATTGATTGTATAATAGATTCATTTCAGTTTGGTTAATATTGAGGAATTTGTGTTCTGTTACTATAAAATTATTATTTATTTTGTAAGTGCTAGCATCCAAAATGACAATAGTACATAGGGTCATGAGGCAGAAAGAGGAAACAAAGATATTCTAGGAGGAATGGTTAACATTTGTTCAGAAAAGACTGTCAAAACGACTTCCAYATTAAAAAAAAATATGCTGCAGACTTCAAAAAGTCCATTTGTTCARCTGTTTGCAAAGTGGTACATAAAAATTTACATGCCTTAGGGCATGAAAAACATACATTATTAATGTTATTTTAAAAGGCTCTTGAACGTTTTGTTGCCAGATGGGATGAGAGAAGTGTCCTGCACTGCAAATGGACTCCTGTTCGACATTTACTGTTTGCTAGTCTGGAGTTGGCTTTGGTGGATGAGGAAGGTTGGTGACTCTAAGGTAGGTACTGGAAAGCTGATTTAACACTTGTGTTCCATGATGTTGAAAGGCCTGTGTGACACTTGGAAGTCCTTTGTGTTTGGACACCCTAAAGCATGTAACTGCTTGTTGCTGCAGTCATATTTTTATCAAAAATAGTAAGATTCAAAATTGATTTGCAGATCTTTTGAGCAATTATTAGCTTTCCAGCCTAGATAATTACTTTTTGTGTGGTAGGTCTCATATGGGTTTTCTTACATATATTTCTCATCTTAATTGTAAAGGCAACTTAYGAAATTAAGTAATTAAATTAATTTGACAAGATTATTGCTAAATAATCTAACGCAGTCTATACTGTGCTCATAAGTGTAGTATTTGACTTCATTAATTAGAAGTTAACCCCTTTTATCAAAGCTAACATGTATTATTTAAATACAATGTTAGGGTAACCTAGTAAAGCAGAAGTTTATTTTTAGAATGCAGCTTAATTTAAGTATTGGTTGATAGCTGAAATAGTATAGAGCTTCTGAAGAGTTTGTRGCTTGGACTAAAGGAACTTCAGGATATGGTGAGTATGAGGATGGACTGACTTGTAAAAAATTTTTACTTACAGATGTTTGAGAGAATCAAACGATCTGATGAAGCTTCTGCTTCTTCAGCACAAGGTAAGAAGTTCAAAAAGTTCAAAATAGTTTTTGTTGCAGTTGCATTAAAAAATTTAATAATTATCAATAGAAGCATTAGTTCACTTGTAGTTAAATTGCATACTTTGATTTCTTAAATTTCTTTACGGAACTTACATGAAAGGAGTGACTTCTTAATCATCTACAAATTTGCCATGTAGGCATAATTTTCTTGCCCTGGTGTAAGCTGTTTGAGACATTTTACATTTCATGTCAGTGATCATGGATATCACAGTGCCAATGTAGATAGCTTAGTCCTGAACCCAGACAAATCAGTAAAAAAATTCTCACTCACCTCAGCCATGAAAGATTAAAGCTTATTTTATTAAGTTCTTGGATGAACTTTTCTGACAAAAGGTTCTCTTCTTGTTTTTTGAACTTCCTAAACCTTTTATCTTCCTTTAAAATAGTTTGACAAATGCAATGTAGGAGAAGTAGCTAGCTGCAGGTTAAACTCTCAATCTCCTTGATACTCTGTTGGTTTTTTTGTTTTGTATGTGAATGTTTGGTTAGTTTATTTCTTGGTTGTTGTTTTTGTTTTTCTGTAGGAATCCAAAGACATGGTGTAGAGGGCTCTCTGCGACACGACAGCAGTAGCAGGTAAGTAAGGTGATGATCCAACTGGCATCCAGTTTACTGCTTGCCAAAGTAAAATGGGAAGAATCTGCTTTTCAGCCTAATCTGTTGCCTTGTGTAATGGATGACAGTGATACAATGTGGATTAGGTGTATGATGGAGGGTCTTTGTGTCTTATACTCTGTTTTATGTACTTATGTACTGTTACATAAGTTACATTTAAATGTACTTATGTACTGTTAAAAACTGTGGGGAAGGCACATTGGAGTGCCCAAAACTACTGTGTCGGTGTCAGGTGTTTTTGGTCTTTTTCTTCCTTATTTCAAAATACTGAAAAACAGGTGAATGGAAAGATGACTGCCYTTTTCTTCAGAGGCAGTTTTTTTTTTTCAGATTTAAGCTAATTGCGCCTTCAAGTTGTTATCCTTTGTTCTGCATTTAAGAAAGAAGTTTTTTAGTGATATTTGCTTGGGAATGCTTTAAAATACATAGTCCCACTTACCATTACAATTCTGAAATAGAAACATTTGTCTTGCAAGTTTTTCCCATCTCCGTAGTAAGATATTTAGAATTTCCATGCTAAGTAAATGGATTCAACACCCCAGCATGTCTTGATAATGCTACCTGCTTCTTTCAGTTTACACAGRAGAGGACATGAGCACGCTCGGCCTGGAGCACCCGCTGTGCAGAATAGACAAGGATACTGCAACTGTTGCCATGTACACTACAGTAATCTGGAGCAGGTCAGACAGCTTCTGCATAATTTGGCTGCAGATAGCAAGGAGTACCTAAAGGCTTTACCAGCTTATAAAGTATCAGTTTCTATACTGAACAACCAATACTGAGTGAAAAATAAGCAGTTTGTGAATTGCACAATATGTGCACGGAAGATGATAGCTTGCTTATTTGTTACCTGTTATAAAAGATGCTGGTGGAGTGGCATGGCTGCTGCAGTCTGCTTTTCTGAAGTGGCACAAAGCTGTGCGTTGCATCCATTATGGTTTTTTTCTGTGTCTTTAATCTTGAGATCTGTATATATTGTGAAATATTAGTATTATAATAAAATATTAGATATAAGGCTGGAGACATTTGATAAAACTATTTTCAGTTCTTTAGCTCTATCAGTCTCCTGTCCTTTAGACTTTATTAATTAGAAAGTAGAAGCCTATTTAATCTTCTACACATAGGAAAAATCTTGTTAATTGTAGTGAATTATAGAATGTTTGCTCATATGAAGTTCAAGAATATTGTAAGTAATTTATATATACATTTAGAGTATTGGTTCTGGTAAAGAGACTTGTGTGCAGCTGTGAGATTTGTGAGAGTATTTGTGCTGGTTAGAAGAGATTTGTCAGCAGCTATCAGAACCATTAATTTAAGTTCCAACTCAGAAAGATGTTTTGATACATTTTAGTATTATTTGATACTGCCTAAGCATACTTAAAAATCCCAATCAAGGCTTTAAATTAAAAAGCTGAAAATTTTTATTTAAATATTTTCATAGCAATGGTGTAATATTTAACCTGGGAAGGAAGTTTTAGGAATAGGCCTGTGTGTTAGCAGTAGTGTTAGACTAATYATCTGTTTTATCTTTCACCAGCATATTTTCAGCTCCCAGCACAGGCATTTTACAACATACTGTAGGAATCGTATGGGTACCAGTAGCYTGATGGAGCGTTTCCTGCAAGATGTTTTACAGCATCATCCCCACAGATACCATGACAGCAGGTATAATACAGAGGGCTTTATTTTTAAATATGTGTTAGTGGAATGAATGTATTATGAATTTCTATTTCTGTTCTACTGCTGAGMAGGAAATTTGGCCCATTTGAGGTGAAACTTGCTCAGTGAAGACAATTTAGAAAGAATGTATTTATATAAACAGCATGCAAATATATTGCTTTTGTGTTGTCTCTGCACTYTTAAACTTCTTTTCACTACTTATGGATTTGAAACAACACCACTGATAACATTTTTTAAATGTGAAGGAATATATAGGTSAGCACTTGTAATGGCAGACTATAGTCTCACATGCATTTAAAAATTCTTAAAATTTGAGYTTAATATATTTTATTCTAAGTTATAATTCCAGGCTTTATGGATATATTTAGCAGTATATTTAAATGGTATGTTTTGAAAGAGTTCATAATTTTGGTTTGTTGTTCGTTATGTCAGGTAAGTATTTACATGTTCATTTTTTCATTATCCTTGCAGTTCACATGTTTAATACTTGAATTACATTAATTGGCCAATTCATTAATGCTCAAATTTTGAAAAGTGTTCTCTTTATTTATCATGTACATGTTTCAAGAGTGGTAAGAGGATCAGTGTGTTAAATTTTTCTCTGTAGATGAAGGGAAATCAATTAAACCTCATTTCTCATTTGCTGTGTTTTGAAAGGCAGACAAAAATCCCAGTTTGATCCCAGTACAGTATAGTGYTTCACAGTGTACAACTCTGCTATATGTCTGACAAACAAGTAGAAGGGTATTTTGTCTGAAAGCACTAATTGATATTATCAGGGATGTGACAGTAGAAGCTAATATGCATGTCTATGCCAAACCAGCCCAGGACATGATGTGCACWTCACTACAATTAAATAAATTTTCCTGCCATCTTAAATAAATAAATTTTATTGTGCTATCTTGAGAACATTCACCATTTTTTGCTATGGAGAAAATATAGGGTTCATTTTAAGGTAACATCCAAATGAAAAAAGCCCTTTCTTGAGGTTTCWCTAATAGAAGGTTGTTCCTTTGATGAACAAAACCTACTAACAAGGAAAAACAATCTACACATGTTCCTCTAAGTTGCTGGAACTTAGAATGGAATAGAATGAGAAAAATCATGTACAAAATCTAGATTAAGTTGGAGGAAGAAGGGGAAAGAGTAACCCCAGATCTAGTTAGAGTTTGGAGGAAGAAAAACAAAGATGAAAAAGAAAGTATGAATAGATTTATGTTGTAGTCCTGCTCTGAAAAGAAAGTCATGGTGTTAGCTGACACCTGAGGTAAGATTGTGAACCTCTTCTTTCTCATGTTAAAACACTTAAACACATTTAAACACAGTTTCACTCAGTTCTTTAAATACCTGTTTTTACAATTTRGCATAATTCACACAAGGGACCTTTAGAGTGTCATTTTAAAAGATTATGGAAATATTTGTAAGACTTGATTTGTTTTACAGAGGCAGTATACCTAATAGTTAATGTGGAAAAATTCATCAGAACTTTGTCTTAYACTGAATTTAAAAGGATATTGTTGTTCTCCCCCAGTAAAAAAACAAAACAAAACCAAACACCCACAAACTGCCAAATCATTCCTTCCTCCAAACTCTTGGTATGTAAATTCTCTACCTAAAGAAATAATATTGAGTATTTAAGAAAATAAATCTGCATTCTACTTAATGAGGTAATTTGTATCAAAACTGTCAGAAGTTCCTAACGATATAAACTGTAGGTCTGTTCCCTTCCCCCCCAGAAACATTTGCTTAAAAGTAATTTTGAAAGTGTTTGTAGGCTCTTAACTGACCTAGAGGCCTAGGAGTTTGCTGTAGTTTCTCCATATGAAAATCTATTTAGTTTTATATTCAGTCTTTCACCARTGTCCAGATGCCAGGATGCAAAGATGTTTCAAGCAAAGGTGGAAGAACTCTGAATTTAGATTATTTCTGCTGCATTTGGTCTTCCCTTTAGGTCCTCTTTCAGAGCTTAGGTAACCAAGTTTTCATGCAAGGGCAAAGTAGTAGTTCAGCTGACAGGCATTGTTTGATCATCTGATGTATTTGATTACTTTGCATTCATATAGTTATGGAAATAATGCTCTTTTTTTTTATTATTTCATTATATGAGGTTTCTGTTGCTTAATCAGTTGCATATCCCTTAGCTGTATGTRCACTTAGTTATATAACCAAGGAAATTACTGTACTATAAAGTTTGTTCACAATATGGTTAGCTGATGTCTGCCATGTATTAAAGCAAGCATCTGTTTGGGTCTCAAAAGGACTACTTACTTCAAGTAAAACACAATATTCTCTTCTTCAGTTATATTTACTTATTTTTAAAATTGTTTTCATTGGATTTGCCCAGTTGCTACACATTAAAGCCTTGTGGGTTCCTGTGTTGCATGGGAAAAATAGTCTGTATCTGTCAGCTGTGTTTATTCTGCAAAACACAAACCCTTRTGTTTGAGGTAGTCCTAAAGACAAAGCTACCAGTCACAGAATATGTAAAAATCTGAACAATCCTAACTTGGCTTCTTACAGGAGTGAGTCAGAAGCTGTGGTATGTCTGTGAGAAACAGTAAGCATGGAATTCCTTGGCCACATGTGCAGAGTTCCGATCAGACAGCCACGTTTTGTATGGAAAAGAGCATTTATACTTGTCTTGGGTTGATGTTGTGCCAATCCTGTAATCCATATATTGCATCAGCTTGTATGCCCAACATCTATTTCATATTGGTGGGAAAAAATTATCAGATTTTTCACTTCAGAGGAAACATTTACTCTGTAACATTTTTTCTCTGAGAACGCTGTCTCAAACCAAGACTATACTCAACCATGGTTTTATACTGTGTCGTGTTATTATGTTCTGTTTCTCTACAGATTTTAAGCAATGATAGTATGATCAGTGAAATAACCTCTTTATAAGCTTACCACTTCAAAAGAAGGAAGTAGCTTTACTTTTCCCACTTTGGTGTATTTATAAAATTATTGTAATCTGTGTTTGGCCATTCTTAATTGATGGTTGCATGAAGAGGGTGATAGAATAATGCCCAAATCGTTATCTTTAGCTTTGTGGAGAATTTCCTCCTCCATAATAAAAAAAAAATTGGATATCTCTGCTAAAGCAGCAGAAACAGTAATTTGAGTTTGTTCATTCGAAGTGATGTAGTCTAGGTAATTACTCTTAAAAAAACCCCGCACTGCGATTGTGTGAAAAATTTTAAGCATATTTACAGTATTTACATCACTTGTTTTTTTTTCTCCCCTCCCCTTTAGACCAACCTATGATGACATGCCACTCCCCGTCACTCTGGAAGCTCCTAGGATTTCTTGCCTGTCCTCAGAAGAGATGCAGAAAAAGAGAAACAGTGAAAAACAGGAGATTTCCAGCAAAGACAAGGAATCCATTTGTGAAATCAGCTCTTTTGTTCCATGCCTGTCTCAAGAGGGCACAAAGAAAACTTCTGTAACACAAGCGGGTTTTSAAAAACTTCACAGAAGCCAGGAACGTGTTCCAGGAATATCCCAGCAGCCTATTGGCATTTGTAGCGATAAGAAAGGAGTAACTCTGAAAAATGCTCAAATTGCAAATCATAGCCATGAAGGTCAGTTTACAGTTGTGAGCCCTGTACCTCAGCAATTTTCTCTCAGTCCTGCAATCCACAGTTCTTCTGTTATTCCTAAAACAGGAAAAAATGTTAGGGATTTGGCAGCATCAGATCTGGTTCGGCGTAGTGGATGTGATGGAAAAGCAATGGAGGTCTGCAATAGTGATGTGGTATTGAATGCTCGCTTGAATCCTGCTCCAGTACTGGTTCACCCAAAACACCCTTCAGTTTCTCATCAGAATCCTACATGCAGCCACAGCAATTCTCTCSTCATTACCTCAGGTCAATCTCTCTCGAAGCGAGATAGTTTGCGAACTCAGGATGAAACTTYGGTGTCTGATCTCCATCTCAGGGATACTGTGGGTACCAGCAGCTCCCTAGACCTTGGGACATGCCCACAACCAGCAAGATGCAAAAACACAAAGAGAAACAGAGGTGATGAAAGTTCAGTGGATAAAACTATTGAAGATGTAATTTTGAAATACTGCCATGAAACTACATCTGAAGAAAATTATTTCAAAGAAGAGAATAATCSCTGTGTACCTTTTTCATCACTTCTGGACCATAGTAATTTAGAGGGCTCTGAAATGAGTTTTGACTGTGATGCACCAGTACAGGTAGGAGCAGACTTACCCAAGGCAGCTATAAAAGACATAGAGTTCCTAAAAGAGGTCCAAGTAAGTTTGCAAGATAAAGACTATGGAACACAGCTTTGTTCTGTTTTAAAAACTGAGTCATTAGAGAAAAYAGATGCAGTGAAAAAGGATGTTGTAGTTCATACCGAAGAACCMGTTCTTCCAGCTCTGCCTCATGTGCCTCCTTCTTTTGTGGGAAAGACTTGGTCTCAAATAATGTATGAAGATGATRTAAAAATTGAAGAACTTGTACGTGATTTCAGGGAAGGTCGTTTTCACTGCTACTTTAACAGTGAATCCTCAGGCAACTGTGTGGGGAAGAGAATGAAGAAAAGAAAGCAGAAGGATGAAAAAAAGATCAGTATTACTGAGGGTAATAGAAAAGAGAATGCGTCAGTTAAAGCATTGCCAGAATTTAATGATGCTTTAAGTGGTGGCTGTGATTTTGATTACCCATCTTTAGCCTCAGATACACTATGCAACCAACAAATTGTAAAAATGCCTAGGAAAAGGACATGGCGCCTGGCTTCAAGATGCCAGGTGGTTAAAGTCAGCCATGGCACCCAAACAAGCCTGCTGAACTACCCTGTAGCAAAAAGGAAAATGTCTAGAAGAGAATCTGATCCAGCTGATCAGAAAGCAAGCAACGCATGGCTGGAGAATGAAAAAACTCCAAACATGAAAACTAGACTATGTGCCCTTAAACTTCCAGAGTCCTATAGCAAGAGCATGAGTCCTGTACAGCCCAAGACTGTCGTGTATGTWCTCTCATGCCCAGAGGTAAAACAGTGTAAAGGTAAACCTGTAGATATTCCCAAAATGAGGAAAAATCGCAGCTCCACAGAGGGCAAGGACTCTGTAAGGTATAAATACAAACAGTGTTCTCTCAAATATTATGATCCACTGACAAATCGAATTCTGAGAACACCTCCAAAGAGTACAGTTGGAGAAAAGGCCAAAAAGCCCTCTCATGTTCGACAGCTTTTCAGAAGTCTCAGCTTTGATGTAAACATGAAAAAACTAGCTGATGCACAGGGAGAAAGCACACCATCTAAGTCACTCAATTTGTCAGACTTCTATAGTTCTTCTTCAGCATCTTTCCTGCCAGATTCAGATAAAGGGAATGATGCAGCCTCAAGTAAAAAGGCAGATGGACCTTCTGTTTCCGGAGAAAGAACAGACTGTCTCTTRTCTGAGAGCTCTTTTAAACACCTGATCATTTCACCTTTGAACTCTGTGATAGAAGGAGATTACAGACTAATTCCATTTAATAGAATTACCAAAACTCCTCTGACCTCCATCAGGAGTGAATGGTTAGAGAGGGAGACTCCAAAATCAATATGGAAGAGAAAAGAAGGCACTAATAAAGAACCAGTTTTTTCCAGAAAGGCTGCAGGATCTAAGTCTGTCAGATGTACTGTTGGGAGGAAAGGAAACAGGGTAACCACAGGTAAACAAACATCCAGAGCTAAAAAACAGCAAAAAGAGGGGATGAGGAGACAACTTCAGCCTCGTGCCCAGAAAAMTGCTTTCTCCATCCATAGGTGCCAGACAAGGAAAAGTGCAGTGGGAAAGCACCCTAAAAAAGAAAAACCCGATGCTAAAAMGTTAAGGGTGAGGAGGAAATCAAAAAGGGCCTTTGTGAACTCAACAATTGTAGCAGGGATTCCTGAAAAGAGGCAGAAAGTCACATCAGAATCTTTTCCCAAGAAACCAGAGCAAGCTTCCTCCAAAGTCAGGAACTGGAGAGTAAATGGAGATCGGGGTCATGCTGGCACTGTGAACCGGCGCTCTAGAAGAACTTCTGCTGTACCATTACTTCAAAACTGTCTTGTTCTGCCAGGTGAAAGCTAGCTACCAAAAGAAGTTTTTTTTATTGCCAGCACCTGGAAGAAGGAAAGGGGAAAAAAGGAGGTCAGAGACAACACAGTTGAAGTGCTAGAGCTCCGGAAAGTGCAAAGCCAGTCTAATGTGAAACAAATACAACTGTAAACTCAGCTCTTGTTCCTGCAATGTGGGGACATAATATTTTGCACTGTTCTACTGTGTAAAGCTGCAGAAGTTACAGATTTGAGTTAAAAGCACTTAGAATCATATTTACTAGTCTTCACCTGTACATCAGCAAAATTACCTTGAATGGTGTCATATTGTTATCATGGTATTATCAGTGCGTAACAGTGCACTATAATAAGGTAATTTAGAAGCTGTGTYAATTAATTGTGCCTATTTTAATTTTTTCACATAATTCTAAAGTACAGGAGATGACTCAGTTGTTATGCCAGAAATTTAATGAAGATACATCAATCGGGGCCGAATTCTGTGTATGTATTTTGTGTTTGTGTATATGTGCACCTTCTTCAACACATAATATATACTTGCCTGTGGAATGGCATTAAAATTAATACAGTGTGGTATAATTCAGATAAATTCAGTACTTTCTTGAAATGAAATATAATTTTACACATTTTGTATTGATTTTTTTTTTCCTGAAACCATGTCCAAAGCATTTTTTTTGGACAAAAAGTCACTGTGGGCTCTCATCAAGCAATAATGGACCATGTTGATAAGGAAAGATGTCTCTTTAGGGGACTCTTCAAGTGGTGGTGGCTAAAGTGAAATCTTGCATTCTAAAAAAAAATAGGGTAAGGTTTTGGTGCTTTTTGTTTGTTTTCAACAGCTTATTGGTTARGTTTGTAGGTGAATTTCACATTCCTTAGTGAGGGGGATGGAAATGTTACAATGCAAATAAATAACAGTGAATTGTTTCAGAATGTCATCCTTGAGTTTGGGGTTCTGTGCTTTTCTGACTTTAATTGGTTGTAGTGTTGGTTCAATTTTTATGGACTAGGGTTCAAATTTTCTTTCTAAACTTTCAGTAAARTATTTAAATAAACCTAACACAGCATCCATCTAAATGTATTAAAGTTCAAATATTTGTTTCAAAAACTTAATTGAATTGAAATTATATTCCACAGGGATTCATGTTTGGGCAATGATGTTCCAACTACTGTGGTTTTATGRCAAAAAAATCTAAACCCATGGTGTTTTGTGTTTTGGCTTAGTTTTATTTTCTTTTTTTAATAGTTGTTATGATGACAGTTTATTTAATGTGGTTAGGAGACATAAAGCCACTCTTGTGGWTGTTTCTGTGCTTTAAAAACCAAGATTAATGGTTCACTTACAGTAAATTAAGCACAGTTAAACATGGTCATAATCTGGCCTTTGGTTTTTAAATCTTCAGTTTGATRTATTTTATAATTATTTTACCTTGAAGGTCTTCACTAATTCTCTAGTGGTAAAATACATTTTTCATAACACAAGAAAAGCATGGAAAAGATCAGACCCTGCTGTCTCTGGCATTGAACATACTGTCTGTGCATTTTCCCCTCAGAAAATAAAACCATTCTCSATTCTTCATTCACTTCTTTCTGAAGTGTCAAGGGTCACAGATTTAAACTGACATAAAGCTGGACTTCGAAGTGGTTTATTTTAATGTACAGTATGTGAAGGAAATATGAAAGCTGTCATCATAAACCACATGTTCAGAGAATATTTTGGGTATTTTTCAATGCATATGCATATTTCCCAAGATAAAAAAAATGTGCATGTCAGCTGGAAAGTAAGTTCCTTTACAAGTGATGTATGATCTGGCTGATTTTTTTATTTGCTTTTGTTTAATTTATTTTTTATATAAAAGTTGATTTCTATATGTGAATTTTCCTATGGCTGTCAGCAGACTCAGAATCTTATGACTGTATTGAAAGTCACTGGAAGATGAAGGGCTATAATATAAATTCTTATAGCCCTCTTAACTAATTGTGCCTGTGTAATTTAATACTTTGTCTAAGATAAAAATGATGTTTTTAAAGCAAAGTTTTAAAGGAATGGTTTTTATAGAAAGGCTAATTTTTAGATAAAGCAAAAGAAGATTTTAAAATAAAGTTTGTTTTAAAGCAAAGCTTTAACTCTATAGATAAAGTCCCATTCTAACATATTTTTATGATACAAGAATGTTTTCCTGTCTAACTTCTTCCATCTTATTTTTCACAGTATTTTACACATGAAGAGCATGAATTATTTTGTGTGTGAATAAGTTTTAATGCACATTGTATTTTAAGAACACTAGAGTGTATTTGTTTAGTGTCAAAATRCTGTTCTCCATGCTCATTCATTGTATGTTTGTCTTACTTCAGTGCACAACTTTTCCTTGAAATCTTGATTAATAAAAATGTGTTGAGGACTATAGAATGATTAATATTTTTAGACTGTAATGTCTTTTTTGTTTTTGATAGCAGATCCTCATCAGGGTGGGGTTTTTAGAAGAAAAATGTTCTATTTAAACAAAAGTGTAAGTAGCTATATATTTTCCTTTAAAAAAAAGAAGAAAATTAAAAAAAACCCTATAAAATGTAAGAATTTATAAGAAGAATAAGACTTGGGGTACATTTCTGTGGTTGACATTGTCAAAATAAGATTTATTGTAGGCTTGGATGTTAATCTGTACCTCACTTCTGAGTGTTCAGAAACCTCTTCTGTGCATGCTTGATGACTACTAGGAAAAAGAGAAARGACTGTAATATGAGAAGTAAATGCAGAAACTGCTTTGGAAAGACAATTGGTGAACATATTTCAAACAAAAAATACTGCAAAGACATTGAATATCACGTGCAAGGAGAAAATAGTGTTGAGATATAAGCAAGCTCTTTCCTAACAGATAAATAACATAGTTCCTTCCCTTATGGAATAGAACATTGTTTCATTAGCAGTGGGGCTGAAACTTCAAAACATGATKGTGAAGTTACACCAATGGCAAACTTGAGAGCTGAAATATTTCYTTTCTGAAATTGATGGGAGGATATTTCTTGTTTCTGTTTTTGTTTGTGTTTCTTTTTTCCTTTGGTGTTTTTTTTTGAGGGGTGGGAGTGGGTTCTTTTAGTGGACAAAGAAGTTTTGTCAGTATTTTGCATGTCTTAATATAGAGAAGCAAGAGAAGAGCGAGATGGGAGGTGAATTTTTGCATTAAATTGGCAGCAGTTAGAACCAGGACCTTTTATAACAGTTGAGAAAAGTGTTATCATTTCTTCTTCAATGCACGTGCAATTTTAACCTGTAAGTTCATAGGAGTTTTTTTATACATTTCACAATGTTTAAAAGTCTCTCCCCACATAAAGTACTCATTCAACCTTTCAAAACAATCTTATTCTAAGCAGATTGTGAGCCATGACTGTGATCCAGTCATATGGTGACAGGTACTAACCAAACATAAAATACCAATCCCCTAAAACTTTAGATATCTGACACTTGCACCTCACAGTTTTTCAGTTAATTTAATGTTAGGATTTTTTTCTCTCTTGTTCTTTCTGACAAATTTGCATCCACTGTTCTTGTAATTGTGTTATGGGAGTGAGATAAATGAGGTATTTCTCTTTGTAATGAGACAATGGCTTAATCTAAATTGTCTTTAAGTTTCATGCTAAATTTGTGCCCAAATGAGGATGGGTTTTGTGGTTTTCATGTTCTTGTTATTGATAATGTGTTTTGCAATAATTTTGCTTGATGTTGTAATTTTTAATCTGCTTCTCCACTCTCTGTGTTCATTTGACACTATGTGGTTTTGTAAGGATACAGTGATACTACAGATTCATCCAATGCTGCTGCTGGGTGGTCTTTCTCTGTGTCTTCTCATTTTATTTCAGATTTATTGTTTCCATTGTTTTTCTCAGTCATGTATTTTACTTCCTTTTTTTTAATGTTGTAAAGAGCTAAGTTACAGGGCAGTATGTTCTGTTTGGAAGTAAATCAGTGMTGGGTAACAGAAGAGGATGTTCTCCCAGTCTGAAGGGTAGAGAGCAGGTTGGTACATGTGCTTCTTTGCTTGGAGTCTGGTTTATTCCACTGAGTAGTGTGAAACAGGAATGGGATTATGATTCTTAATTCCTGTGCTGGTCTTCCTTTCTTTTCCCTTAAGGTGACTCTGCCTGAGAACTAAGTAATCCTACTTCAGTAAACTCCTACTGAAAATAAAGGATTTTCAGCTTTTGGTGTTTTGGGGACAGATAGGAAAAGTAAAATGCATTTCTCTCACAAATGTAACTAATATCTGTGAATTTTTGCCTTTAATGTTTTATCAGCCAAAGTAYAGCATTCCTGATAATATTTTTCAGAAAAATTTCAGAAAAATAGCGTAGTTCTGAGCATGCCCAGAAGCAAAGGTTTTATTTCTTGTTTGTTTTGCAGTTATAAATTCATTCATTCCTTCAGCAGAACAAATCTTGTTTTAATAAAATAAAGTCTGAATATTTGTTTTTGGAGTTTCTTTATTCTTGRAGTGGAATTTAGCTGGAGGCTATTTGCTGTAATTTGTTGTGGAAAGAACACCACGGAATTCTATGGAATAAGCTACTGCTGTGAAGGCAGACAGTCATAATTTAAAACCTATTGACAGTGGTGTGATGCCTTGACTCAGTGAAGCCAAGATTCATCCTATTCTGTGCCAGCTGAAGCAATGACACTCTAGGATGGTATTGAAAAGATGATGGATACATTTGAAATATATCTGACTTCATTTTGGCAGCATGAAACCAAGAAGCCCCAACCACGTGCTGAGCCAGATCCCTGCAGAACTTACTCATTAACCGTTTTTTTAGAATGTGCACTAATTATGAGGGCAGGGTCTGGAAGTATATTCCTAAAAWGCTTTCTATTTTTTGCAAAATAGTTTGACATCTGTAGTCATAGACCAAATTAATGCAGGCAGAACTCTCTTCAAAATGTGTGCAACAATCCTTTTAAGAGTATCTGGTAAACAGATTACTACGATACCTTGAACAATACCTTGCTTCTTGTTCTATAAATTTTGTAGTCATTTGCTGTTTGTAGCAGTGCCTGTTTAAACCAGTGTGATCTTTTGCAGGAGCAATGCACACAGAGGTGTCAGATAGGTAAATGGCAGAGAGGCAGAGGGATATGGTTTCCTGAGGCTTTAGTAAGTCATAAAATTTCAGGACATGCTTTGCAGTTTTCAGTCCACACTTGAAAACAGCCATGTATTRTGTAGTTGGCTGAATGAAGTTAATACTGTGCTCTGAAATAATGATTAAAGAAATAATTGTTCAACCATTGAAACATGGAGTTAGAAACATGGTACTATAACCAAATTTTAAGCCACATGATTGCATCTTTCATGGGAAATAAAAGCAATTAACAATATGTTTATAGAGTGTATAAGGGAGATCCAGTCCAAATTATGATGGAATTAATAGCATAGTTTTAGTTGACTTGGAATTCACTTGCATAATTAGTGTTATAATTATTGTGTTTTGATGGTTCTGGAAGTCATCATTATTTTCTTGGAGTGCAGAAGCATTTCTTATGAAATGTATGAACCCATCATTATTGCAGTTTGTGAWTCAATGGTGTCAGCATTTCTAAACTTAGGTTCTTTTTTTGTTAGCRTTCCACCCTTAAGGAAAACTGAAAAACAGTTTTTCTCAAATACTGGGATTCTTAAAAAGGCTTTTCAGTATCACACATCTCAAGTGTAGTTCAATGCATTAAAGCTGGTCAGCTTCTCACATTTGCTGTGTCATGCTGCCCTAACGTTGGCACTGGTGCATCTGAAAATGATGGTTATAGCTTAGTTAACAATTAATATTGTGCAAACAAATTGCAGAATCAAAACAAACCATTGCTAGCTCACACAGAGAGCTTAAATACTGTGCTGGCCTGGAGMTTGTGCTGTGAGAATTAACGGAGAAGCTGAAGGCAGAGTCCTTGGCCTACATGTTCCATCCCTTGTGGATGCAAGGGATGTGTGTGACTTGCTTTTTATTGCACTGAAATTTTAARATGAAGAGGGAGGTAGAAATGAGGCATAAAACTTAAATATGTATTTTAGATTGGAACTAGATAAATGAATATTCAGCTTTGGGTGCTTGGGTTTTTTTTTAGTGTTTATCTCTGTTTTATCTGAACCTTAACAAATAGCTGACAAAATCCATCCATGTAGTGGTTCAGCTCAGATTCCGTCAGTCACTCTTCTGGTATGTTACTTTTATTTGCTTAATGCATGGATAGTATTTCTCTTTACTGCTGCTTGTTTTATACTTTGAGCCACTGGTAAGAGGGGAAAAATGTTTATAACAAAGGTTGTGCAAATACATCTCTTTGAAGGCTAAAGAGAAAGGTTGTAAGGCAGTTTGTGGCTCCCAGCAGATTTCTCCACATGCTGAAAGGCGCTCTGTTAAAATTCAGATCTAATGATGAGTAATCAATCAGTTTGCCTAATGATGGTAGAAACACTTCTCGTTTTATTGGCATTAGACTCAATCTGTATACAATTAAAAATAAGCATGCTGACTTTTTGGTGACATATTTTATGGATTTCTAAATGCGTCTAGTGCTTTAATTTTTCTAGCAAATTGTCATTTCTTGAGTTATTGCCAACACACTCTAGTTCTGGATCAGTCTGGAGTCAGGGTAATAATGGAGTCAAAGTTAGCATATTTTTACCTACCACTATTAGTTACTGTTCATACAGCCCTTCCTATAGATGTAAAAAACTCTTAAGTGTTTATTATTATCAAGAATTGTCTTCTGTATTATTGTTATTTTAGGCATTAGTGTCAAATATATTGTTAAAAATGCATTGATACATTTATATTTCTGTGAATATAAGTGTGTAGTTATCATTGATAAGCACAATATTTTTTTTATTTTTAGAGCTCAAAGGAGAGCACTAATGAAATTGTATTTTACATATTTTTATTTACAAYTATACAGAGACTATTCACTTTTTCTGTGCTTAGCAAATTTCTATTTTTCCTCCCTCACACTTCTCCATTTTAAAATAAGAATTCATCTGCAATGCAGAGTTCTCCATCTTTATTTTCTCAGAGTAGGGTGTGATGAGTGTCATTTGGGCTGTATCACGAAGAAGGTTTTATGTAATTATGTAGTTATTGCATCTGCCTTCCTAACTACCTCTGCCTTTTTTTCTGTGCCAGGAGGGATTTTCTTCAAGAGCCCAGCACATAAAGGTGAAGGTGCCAATGAGGACCCGTGTGGGCTTTTTTTCTCCTGAGGTTTGCCTGGCTTCTGTGGCAAAATGAGTCCTCTAAGCCAACTTTCTTAGACTTGATCCTTCTTTTATCCTACAGGAGTTAGGTTGTTTGGGTTTGCTGTTGTTTTTTTCTCCACCAAATTTTTCCTTGTTTCTCCTCAATATTTCAAGTTATATGGGTTTGCTGACTGCAAATCTAAAATTTCATAGTTCCCTGCTACAAATAAAAATTCTTTACAAGTCTCTATAGTTCTTATATATCTTGCTTTAATGACCTTTTTTTCTATTTGCTTTTAGTTCTGTTTGCTCTTGATTGAAGCTTCTGTATTAGTTTRCATTGAGTCCAAGATTTTATTCTAATTGGCATAGTATTAATTTGGTTTGATAAATGTTTTACAAACATGACATTCATGGTAACTCTCTGTGGTTAATTTTTTTAGGGCTTTTTTAMATCATAAGTTTCTTCTTGTTTGTTTTGCTTCTTTCCTTTTTATGGACTTTCTTGCTTGTGTTTGGTTTTTCTTGCTAATGTTTGGTGTCCCACTGCTGATAATTAAGTAKCTTTTAATGAGGAGGGCTGGAGGAACAGGAGTTAAAGGATCCCTCTTGCCAACTTATGCTGCCATTGTTCTTTCCAAAGCAGGTTGGTGGCATTTGCACTTTCCAAAGCAGGTTGAGTGCAAAACCCCAGGCTGCATTAAGTTGTATTTTTATACTTCATCACTGTATCTCTTTTTTTAAGGATAAGGGATGTCAACTCAGTAAAAATATAGGTATAGATTAARAATGTTGTAGAACAGCTAAGATAGTAGCATTCGATGAGCACATTTTGCCACTGCACTCTCTCCTACATTTGCTATGAACAAACACTTAAAAAATTTGTATCAGATATCAGAGAGATGAAGTTACAAACATTTCCAGTGTGAGAGCTTGCAATGTTCATCCCTCCTTTGATATAGATTTATCTTTAAGAGGGCATTTTGTTTTCATTTTCTCTTYGTTTCATTTTCTCTCTGTGGCATGTCTCTGTCATTAGTCTAAGTTCTTTCTCCTACTCCATCTTAGAATGAAAGTGCTGTATTTTTTTCTTTGTTAATATACTTTTTTTCTGTTAAGATTCTAGGGGGAAAGAATTAACATTTGCCAAAAAGTGATTTGTAAATCTAAGCTCCACTATCATCAGTTTGTGTGGAACTTAGTAAATTCTTTAATTACATCTGAGGACATGGGTAAAGCGTGAGTCTGCAACTCACTCTGAAATTTTATATGAAATACTTAAATTGTGGTGGGTTCGAGTTCTTTTTCTCCTTTCTCTTTCTTCAGCACTGTTTAAAGAGCTACTTGGTGCTTTCAGCAATGTCTTGACAAAAGTGGATTTGAAAGGACTGAGTAGTGAAATTCAAGTACAAGTTGACTTGATTTTAACTTTCGTTTTCATGTTTCTAACACTTAGAAGTGGACTATCACTTTTATCATAGTCTTAGCTTAGTACTTTCAAGGAAGAAAATTTTTTTTTCTAAATGATGAATTCCGAAGTTATTTTGTATGCTAAGCCTGGCTACTTTGTTGAGGAAAGGCTGTGTAGTTTTTATTTTTATTTAAAGTAAATATTYAAATTTTATGAACTTGATGTAAGTGAAGGTCCTATAGTATCTGAGATGTCAAGAGAAAATTTTGTAAGCAGCCCATAGGAGGATATTTGCTCTTTTTCAGCTTCTTGGTGTTATGTCACTTAAGGCACATAGAATTTCTCTTGCAATTGCAAAATACATGTGTCTGCTACACTGAAAATTAATGTTGGAAGAAGTGCCTAGAGGCTGGAAGCACTCTTCTTGATTTTAAAAAAAAAAAAATAGTTCCATATAGCGTGATGCCTTTATGATGGCATTCACTGTGTGATGTCTAGGTTTTATCCATTCATACTTGTGTGAGTACTGGGCTTATTTGTCAGCCAGAAAGCATCTGATTGAAAGATGGATTTAAAACAAACTATGTTGAAGTACCTGAGATTTTGGAAAGTTTGGATGTGGATCTTACTTTTTCAGTTGAATATGTGAATCTAATAAATACAAAGAAAACTTTAGTGCTGCTGTATCTGTTCCAGTCAAGGGAGRGCAATAGGACATGAATCCAGTCAGTCACAGCCCAGATCATCTAAGAGCTAACTTCTGTCATTGGCAAGCTTCTGTCAGTTCAAGGGGACCTGCTTCCAAGTGTGTCTGAAATCTGAAGCATT